ACTACGAACAATGAAATAAATGAATTTTGATGAAGTAATTGAATCACGATTCTCAAGACTCGAGAGTTCTCCATGTCACAGATTTCAATCGGTGAAATGAAAGGAATATCGAAAGATCTTCTTTCTCAGATATGTTCGAGCTGCCAGTCATTGTTTAAAAACAACCATGGACTTACCATCTACATATCAAGGAGACACTAGGCAGAAGCAAATAGGATCAAACTTATACCAATCGAAAAGAAAAACGAAAATGTTAAACAGCCAACAGAGAGTGTGGCGAGCTTGAAGTTAAGAAGTGGGAAACTAAATTTAAGGAGCTGCACAAACTTTTTTTTTTGTCCTCCCCTTCATGGCCTTTTAAGCTATAGGGTGTTTCCCCGGGACAGGGAATTTAAAATACCTTTCGGCACCAGGACACGAACTCGTACTTTTTTAATCTCTCGTAACTGGTTATTTGGTTGCTGGGCAACTCGCGGTGCTGTGCTGACGCGTTAGCCAATTCGGCCACCCCACCCCAAAAAGATATTCCGTTACCGGGAATCGAACCCGAGCCTCCTGGGTGAAAGCCAGGTATCCTAGCCACTTAGCCCTGGAGCCAGGGCCCAGAAATCGACCTGATCGCAGGCGAAGGTTTGATTGTAAATTACGAAAGTGTATGTTATTCTGAGTAAAAACAACCTTGTCTGCCGTTCCAGAGCCGCTGCTTTCAAAAATGGCGGCTGATTTAAAGAATATTAGGCCAGTAATTTGAGGATCGAAGCAAGAAATCCATTGCGAAAAAGGTGAGAAAAGTTTTTATTTTTTTAACTTGTATATATGGGTTTAGACATTTAAAAAACAAAATTGCTAACGCAGGCCACCAAGGGAAAACTTTTTACAGCCAAAAAAGTCAGATTTTTTCGATATTTTTTGGGTTTTTCACCTATAACTCCTAAACAATGCATCAAAGCGAAAAATGAATTCTTTAATAAATTAAAGGAAGTTAAATTTTGCGTCAAAGGAGTACATAAACTTTATAATTTGGTTACGCGGTAAGGTATAAAACCACGGTCAACCAACGCTGAACTTTACCAAATTTGTCAAAAACTGAGACAAATTACTATAAATGGCCCTGTAACTAGGAAATGAGTGCCCTGAGAGGAAAAACCCACAGAATCAAAGTTGTAGAGCATCAAATTTTGCGTCCAGTGAGTACTGACATTTTTATTTTAGGCTAATTATATATCTTGAATCGGGATTCGTTAGTCCTTTATAAAATTCGGAATCTTTCGGCACATCGTTTACCAAAATCTTTTGCTGTTGAGAGGTGGAAAAGAAGCTTATACTGCATGTAACAGACTTTAAACAAAAATAACTCATTAGAAAAGACACCCATACTGTTGAAATATTGAAAATCAGGTTTACCTTCACTACCAATTTCTAACCATCGAGAGATTACCAATTTTTTTCGCAGCCAGTGACCTACATTAAATTAGTTGGTACTCAGTTGATGCAAAATTTGATGCTTTACAACTTTGATTCTATGGGTTCTTCCACTTAGGGAACTCATTTCCATGTTACAGGGCCATTAATAGTAATTTTTCTCAGTTTTTGACAAATTTGGTAAAACTCAGCTTTGGGTGATCGTGGTTTTATACCTTACCGCGTAACCAAATTTTAATGTTTATGTAATCGGTTGACGCAAAATTTAACGTTCTTTAGTTTGTTAAAGAGTACATTTTCCGTTTTGATGCATCGTTTAGGAGTTATAGGTGAAAAACCCAAACAATATCGAAAAAATCTGACTCTTTTGGCTGTAAAAAGTTTTCCCCTTGGTGGCCTGCGTTAGCAATTTTGTTTTTTACATGTCAAAACCCATATATACAAGTTAAAAAAATAAAAACTTTTCACACATTCATTCAAACCTTATAACCAAGATACATATGACAAAATAATTATGAGATCGCGTCTCGGTGCCGGGGGGTCTTTTAACTCTGGCATTAATCTCCACCCTCACCCCTTAGTTCGGGAAAACTCCCGTATAGCCTAAACGACAAGGAAGGGAAAAACCAGAAAAAAGTTTCATTACTTCACTAATTGAAAACAATTCAAAATTTAGCATTCCAGATATATATTGGGGACTTCAAAACATCAATAAATGCACTGCTGGCCGAAACTCGTAAAATTCTTCTATCCTTGCATATGAAATGATTAAAAAAAAAATCTTAATTAAAGAAACTGACCAATCTAATCCCATGGGCAAAATTATTTGAGGGAAAAATACTTTTACCCAACTTAGAAAATTGCTGGCTCACAACATACACTCAAAACCATCTATATTTCATCGGGCCCTCTAGATCTAGATTCTCTGTACACATATTTCGAAATCCCCAACTCTGTATAGTAGTAGTAAACATAAATTAACAAATATAAAAAATAAAAATTCATACCCTCATGAATTATACACCTGTTACTTCATACCCTCTGTGAAATGCTGATAGCCATGTTAAAATTTATACTTTTGTGTATTTTAAACTTAATAAATATGAAACTTATAAGACATCAAAATTTGCAAATTTTAGATTTTCTAGAATTGTTTTTGCCATCAACTCAGCATTCATAACTTCTCTCAAGATTTTCTTCTAATTCAACGCCTGTAAGTTTATCTAAATTTTTAGCTTAAAAAGAAATGAAATCCAAAACTTATTGATTACTGATATGGTTTGGAAGAGCAGTAATTTAGCTTTCCAATAGTTGAACAGGTATTGAATCTGGAGTATATCTTGAGAAGTTATGAATGTTTTAGTTAAATACTGAAAAAATCTAAGAAAATCAAGTACTAAATTCACAAATTTTGATATCTATAAAAAATTTTAATTATAAGTTTTAAATAACACTAAATTCTGTTTCGTCGGCCGTTGATTGATCCTTCTGGGGCACACCCAGCCTCTATATTGGGTACCTATAATTAAATAATTAATTAAGGGAGAAAATCTGGCAATTGAGCATGATCTCGGTCACATCAACTCCTTGCATAACCGTTGAACAAAAGTGGTTCCTTACTAAACCCAATACCCCTGAGGTTGTGGTGGTACAGGTTTTTTTATTTTATGTATATTTCTAGAAACATACAACCACCAATTATTTAAGGAATCTTCAAATAAAATATTTAACAGCTTTGGTTAATACAATTCATCAGTCTATAGGCTTTTAGTCTTCAACTAGATTCCTCCCTCCTTACCACTCAGAAGTGTGTGAAATAACGAATTTCACTAAATCATTACACAGACATCAGAAAAAAACATCTTAATTTCTCAAAAATAAGATAAGAGAAATACACACTATTAAAATACAAAATAACCTACACAACAGTATTCATGTAACAGATGTTCAGAACCAAATGTTGTATATCTAAGTTACACTTAATCACTGAATTCGTTCGATGACTTCTTTATGACAAGCGGTGTTCTTAATCACAATATGAGCTGAAAATATCATAAAACCCACACAACCTATTCAGGGTATATATTAATGCTTGCAATTCGACATCATGAAATTTTTTCGATATACCAGGGTGTCCTTTGTCTTTCAAGTCAAAATGACCTCTTTTGAGTCTTCTAAACAAGGACCAAACTTGTTAGTCTATGGGCCTCATTGAGACCTTCACTAAGTCCTGCGGGCTTTGGTTTATGAGAAAAAAAAATAATCTTATTCTATAAATGAAACTACAGTTGTGAAATGAACTTTCAGAGAAAAAAAAAAATGCAATAAATGTTTTATTAACCTCTTGTATAAGTGATTAGCTGAATTTCACATTTTTTTAAATAGTTTTAAAAATTTCACCATGTAATTAAAAAAACTTTCACAGGCCAGACTGGAGGCTCTTGTAGGACGGATCCCCCAGAGACCCATGGTCCAATCCAATGCACACAAGGATCTGCATTAGAATATTGTCATAGTCTTTCTTTAATAAGATGGCTTTCACTCATATTTTTCTTTTATTGAACATGAAAAGCAGTACAATGTCGTTTATTGTACTTTACTCGACATGTTTCCCATACAAAAAAATATGGAGCTTAAATATCAATGGTATTTTGAAAGGAACAGACATAGTAACATTATAAAAGGTTACAGTGTGAACTAATCATTGTTTCCAACTGCATCTCTTGAAAAAATTAAGAATAATTAAACCACACCAGGCAATTTAATTGGAGATAAAATATTTTTTGATAAAATCATTTTCAGAACTACTACTACCATGTAAACAAATTAGGACGTTTTATTATTAACAATAAAAGTATTAGAATGTTACAATTTTTAAACTCATTTTCATAATTTCAAATTAAGGTTAGAAGAGTTAAAACCTAGTCGAATAAAGCTACTATTGATTTGTCTGTCAATCGCTATTTTTTTGTATAACTTTGTTTCAAGAATTCTATTCTAGATTCAAAATATAGAGTACCGACTTAACTGAAATTTTATTTTGTCATTAAAATCATTTGATGTCATTATGTGTGAAAATATATTTTCGCTCTAAAACTCATGACCGAATATCTTTAAGAACCATTTGATGAAATCTGAGTTTTCGCGATAGTCAGTACTATAAGTACAAGTTTAGTACTAATTGATAGCAAACTAATTTTTAGAGCATATCATAAAATATTCCTAACTTAATGGACTTATTGAGAAAAAGTATTAATAATGTTCAAGCCTTATTTTAACTATTATCATAAATAAATTATTTTTGATTACTAGACCAACTTGTCCCTTGTTTATTTAAACAGCTACTCAGCAACCTATATGAGGCTAAGTAAACCCTGTTCCAAACATTAACTAACTCACAAACATATTTCATACTCCTAATAATGAACTCTGCCCAAACAGTTTTGAAGGAAATGCAACCCACTTCATAAATCCAATCAATAATAATTAATTATATATATATTTTCAACTTTATAAGATATTAAAATAGAAATACAATATTTGAAAAAGGATCAAACTATTTAAAAAAACAACTAGATCAATAAAAAACGTATTTATTTTTAAGCAATAAATTCATAAGGTATAGGAGCGAGCATTATTGGAGGCTCTTTGACAGTTATCAAATGAGCAGGTCGTGGCTGGGCAGGCTGAAAAATAAAAAAAAATATGAAAATAGATTTTAAGCACAAGCAATATAAATAACTTATAAATTAAGTAGAATTATGTTTAGTCAATAATAATTCATCGAACAATTGGGTTTATTTTCCTTAATATTAAGTTGGGAAATAGAGAAGAAAATGTAATCACAAAGTTCAAACAGAAATTGGCAATAACTGGGATGTGTACCCCAATAATGACAGAAACAAATTTTGAAATTGAGATTTTGAAAAGACAATATGATAAAATATGGCCAAGCGCAAAGTGAGACACAGCTTGGTGGGGTCACCTATGGTGAGATTCTGAAGAACGTAAAATAGAGTGAAGCAGCAAATGTTGGCATGCAACGTGAGATGAGAAGTTTCAGGCCCTCTACGAACTGCTGAAATTTATGCTTGAGTCAGTTTCCTTATAGTAGTTATGCCCTATATGGGAGGTTTTTTTTTTTTTTTTTTGTGTAATTATTTTAATAAATAATATTTAATATTTTAATAATTATTTAATTTTTTTTTTAACTTGAATTTGTGATTATTTGATTCTGAGCTTTACAATCTGACGTTTCGGGAAATATTTTGCCATCTTCAGAACTTAATATACATACATAAAATATTTCACATAATTTTCATTCCGGTTTCTGATGTCATACACATTACAAACTATATGTTACAAATTAGCTTTTAATTTTCAAAGCCAGAAGCTATAGAATGGAAATTGGTTTCATTAAATTTATATTTAAGTGTTTAGATTTGTTTAAATTGATGGCCAATAGTTTCTGGCAATGAAAATTAAAAACAAACTTTAAAACAGATAATGTAAGACAACAGAAGCCATAATAAAAATTATGTGAAATATTTAATGTTTATAACAGTAGAAGTTCTGCAGATGAGAGAAATATTCTCTGTACATCAAAATGTTACATCAAAATGAAAGAGTAATAATGCGGACTTTAAATTTTAAAGGAAGTTAAAAATTGCCAACTTGGTCCATGGAAAATTGGAAGTTCCCAACCAAATTAAAAAAAGAAAGAAATCCACTATTTTCGACATTCCCAGTGAGATAAAGTCATAATATTTGATTACTGAATTACATAATTAATAATATCATGCCATAGAGATGCCCAATAAACATTAACCAAGTATGGTTAGTATAACCTCCTCATCAATTGGAATAGTGACAAGATTACCAACACTTCAAGGTCATTTGAGAAGAAAATATATGGAAGAACTTCTCTCTAACTTTCAGCCGAATCAAACATACAGTTTTTGAATTATACATATGTAAAGGAAAACACATTTGTGTGTAAGTAATGGAAGGAATTCAATATGAGCCAAATCGAAAGAGCTGTTTTTGAAATTTAAGTGTATCTAAGAAAATACATTGACACATGCGAAAATGAGGGTAGTAGATGATATTTTATGGCATTAATTAATAAATAAAATTATCTAGGCTTAACTGACATCATCTATGGAAAAATATCCCCTGTTAATGAAATGAAGCACTCATGATCATACTTCATAATCAATGAAGCATTACCCTGAATAATAAATATTCAATTATTATATTATTATAATCATATTATTATTATATATTATTATTATATTATGATAATTATTATAAATTATTCATAAAATCCTATGTAGAATAAATACTATAAATTATTCATAAAATTATATATAATCAATATAATATCATAAGTTCAAATACGTAGGAGAACTTATAAAGTAAAACAGGAGAGATTTACAGTCCATGAAGAACAGAAAAGTGAAGTTGGACAGACTTAGATATCTAGTTAAAAACGTAAATAAAAAGAAGAACTTTTCAAGAAAAAACTAAGATATAAAACAGTAGTTAAACTCAGTAATGGAATGGAGACAACTGGATTCACCAGTACCGAAAAGCTGCTTAAAACAGAAAAGAAGGGATATGCTAAGATGCATCCATGGACTAAGAAAGGTGGGAGATGAATACTGGCCTAAAAAGAATCAAGAATTGTATGAAGATGTCAAAGAGGTAGAAACATCAATGAGGAAATGAAGATTGGAAAGTTTTGCTCACACAAAAGAATGAGTAAAGATAGGATAAACAAACAGGTATTTGACAAAGTAATGGGACTGAAGAACATACATTAAATGATACCCTGAAAAGATTAAGGAAGAAATAATAAAATTTGGTTAAAAGAAAATGAATACCTAGATAGGGATAAATTTAGAGGATCAATGAATAAGATGAAGGTCTGGGAGTAGAAAGGAAGGAAATAGAAAAAAAGAACAAAAAAATAAAATGAGTGAAAAAAGAAGAAAGTTTGGGCTAAAGGGAAAGCCAACAAATAATGATAAACAGGATGTCCTTAGAAGGACTTATCACGCACAAAAAAGTTTTTTTTTTTTTTGTATAATGAATCATACAATTTTTTCTTCCTATAACTGCCTCAATTAAATTCTCCTTAATCATGGATTTCACATTTTTGCTGAGCAAACAAAAATATTCGCTGCTGATAAACTGTGGTATGAGAACTGACCTTTGCAGCTCAAGATAAAACTGAAACTGTGTCACCTACCCACGCATGCTAACATTCAATAAAGTATTCATTTTTTTGTTTCACTGAGCCAGACTTATTGTCAACTCACCAAGCTGCATCTCAACTCGCACCTGGCCTTAATGGAGTGCTCTAGTCATTCTATGAACTCTGAAGCACAATAGTACAAAATTGATAGTCATACTATAAAATTACTCATTAAACAGTGCTAACCTGTCTTCTCAATTCAACATGAATGCCCTTTTCTTTGGCCTCTTTCCTGAGCCTCTCATTTTCTCGTACACGCTTCAAGAAATCTTCACGGCACTTGGAGTGGTTGACATGTTCAATACGGATGTTAATCCTGAAAATTAAATAATAAGTAATACTTTTAGTTACATAATGAAAAGGTTAATATTAAGAAAATATTCAGAAACAATCTTTAATCTTAAAAATCACTGATAATATTAAAAAACAATTCACCAATAAGACTATATTCTTCAGTTCCAAATAAAGTTAATTTTTTAATCCTGAAGTAAGAAAGCATCATTTTCAGAGTAAGTAATGTTTGACAACATTGATACTTAATATATTATTAAAATCAAAACAACTGATCTTAAGTTCTAACAATGAACTAATGATCATCTAGATCAGAGGTCACCAAACGATGGATTGGAAGCACGACCAATCCAGCCCACCATAATTTAGTTAAAATTACATCATTAATTTTATGGGTGACAGATAATCAGGACTCTGCCATTTTTTACTTCCCAGCCTATACTAGGTAAGTACTTACCTACATACATAAAGTAGGTACATTCCTGCTACCAGGTCAAATTTCCGATGTGCGATTTTCGACATATCTGTACGCTTCATAGTCCCCTGAGTCCGAAAAATTGCCTTTTCAGCCATTGGTCTGTCTATCTGTGCAAAGATTTTCTCGGTAGCTAGTAGACCGATTGGTCCACGTTTCAACCAAAACATGTAGGCCATTATCAGGGAAAGTTTACAATGCTAAGGATCTTGAAGGGAAAAAATGTGGTCCGTGCAATACACGATTTCCACTTATCTTTCTACTTTGAATAGAAATTATTTTCTGGCAAAATTTTTGAAATTGTAAAATGTTTGATGTGCACTTTTAACGGAGCTATAGCTTAAAGTTTACAGTTAACATCATTAAAATAACAAAAACATTATTACTAATATCAATAGAAGACAATAAAAACCTCTGTATGTCATCTGCTTTTGTAAAACAGATAACTCCAGTCTCTGAGTTATATATAGAAAAAAAAAAAAAAAAAAAAAAATATATATATATATATATATATATATATATATATACATATATATGCCTAGAGAGATTTAAAAGTATTTCTCTCTCTCTATATATACCTATATATAACCTATAAATGATTATGGATTGTATGCCTATTAGTTTATTAAACTGTTATTTTCTATTGTAAAGTTTATTACAAAGAAATTATGATATTTTCATTGCCTGCCATAGACAGGTTAAAAGTTTTTACACTAATTTTAAGCGGATAATGTTTGAATTTCACAAAGGGGAAATTCATCAAATTATTCACTTATATAATTTTGTAAAAGGCTACACGGCGATTTTTCGGAATAAACGGACGTTGATACGTAATTATTTAAATAAAATATCAGATCTAAAAATTATTAAACAACAGTAAATATATTTAAGGTTATAAACATATGCTTTATACATCCATGAAATATTTTTATATTTCATTTCTTCTTTTACGTAAGTACTATGAAATAGTTTTCTAAACAATGCCATTGCCTTGATTAAGTAGATTTTAAATACTTTTTTTTCAAACTTAAAAAAAGTTTACATTTAGTTAGTAAATTTTATTTGATTTCCTTGAAAACATGTGATTTCTGTTAAATAATATTAGTTTTCATAAATTATTATTTATAATTTTTCATCACTCTCCATTACGATATATTATATGTATACCTTCTGACTAGTATTTACGAAAATTCATTTTCGACCTAAATAAACATTTTCCCTTTTTCCTCCATTTTTTAATTATCAAATTCTTTTAAAAGTTATATTAAGCATTTTGTGGTAACTCTTTATAATGAGAGATGGTTAATTATTTAAAATAAACTAAATTAAAGATACTTTAGAGGAAGACATGTTGAACATTTAAGCATCCTTTAAAGTGATATCAATGGGGATAACACCTCAATGATATTAAAGATCACTTAATTACACAATGATACACAGAGTTTAATCAAAATCGTTGGAGCCGTTTTTAAGAAAATTGTAAAAATGTGTATAACCGTTGATATAAAGTGCCACCTCCAGTTAGCTGATTTCGACAAAAAAGTTGCTGTAACATCTAAGGCATATACAAACCTCAAATGCGCAATTTCACTTTCATACAACTTTTCGTTTTTGAGCTAGACTCGTCACATACATACACACAGACTATTTTGCAGAATTTGGTTATTTGGACTCAGGAGACCTCAAAACATGTATTTCTGTTGAAAACACAGACTCGAAAATTTGAACAATCGCAATGCTTAACCTTACTATATATTTCATACATAGGTAAATGAAAGTTAAAAGTACGAATCCTTCAAGATCTCCAGCACTGAACCCCTGATTATTTATCACCTATGATATATAGAAAAGTTGACAAACTACCATCAATAGTTATTCAATTAATAATTTCACAGAGGCAGTGAACCACACAAAATATTAATCAGATTTTTTACTTCAAAACAAATAAAGAAACAAAGTAACTGATAAACATAATGAAACCGAACATTTTAACTATAATTGATAACTATAACTATAATTAATGATATAAGTATGTCAATATAATAAACTAACTAGTTATTTCAATCTTGGGACTTGGTGGATGAATTAGTTTAGCCCTGTAGCTAAAAGGTTTGGAAACTGCTGATCTGGAACATTTGAGTGACCCTGACATAGTAGCTATTGCTATATATATAGACCAGATATTAATTTGTAATATTAATTATATAAGTTTATATTAAATTTACAATAGGTCTACAGCAGATATCTATAACCCTAGAAGTAAATTGCAAATATACTTTTTCTTTAATTTTTCTCAGCTATTAGTAGAATTTTCCAGTATTCAAGAAGAACTAGATCGAATCAGCGCCTGGACAAACTCAAAACTTTGACAAATACAAAAATTTTGACTATAGTTGTGTGGTGCTCCGTTGTAGACTGAAAAGACTTATGAATAGCTTCATAAGATTTATAATTGGGACACCAAGTTCCAATTCCTGTCCCTAAACAGACAGATACTGGATAAAATGCTTTTTGTTCTTTATTTTATTTTTTTAAAGCTCCATATTTGACATATACATGTTATACAGCACATATATGTTACTTTTTTTTTGTATTTTTATTTCTTTTATTTATTTATCTCTTGAATGTACGGCTATAACAGATGTATAACAATAACAGATGTATCTTTAAATAACAGATGTATCTTTTTTTTTATTTATTGTAGACTTGATTCTCATTCACTAAAGGAGTTTAATTGTATTTTGTTTTCGTTTTGATCTTTTGTGGTTTCTCTTACAAGATGTTTTGCAAATATGTTAATCATTTCTCATTTGTTTTGTATATATTGTTAATTTACTGAAGTTTTTTTTTAATTATTGGAGATCAAGTGCTCAGTTATTAATATTTTTTTTTTGCCTTCTTTTCATATTTTTCCTTTGTAAGCAGAGATTATTTCTTATCATATTATAGTTGGAAGTTTTATACATAGTTTTATTTGTTTTGTATACAGCTAATTAATTTAATGTTTCCTTTTTATTCTTGTATTGTTCAATGTACCAAGCCTTTGAATTTTTTTTTTTGTACAATTTGTTATTCTCAAGGGACTTCATCCCAGAATATGGTTATTTTCTATTTTATTCTAAAGGAAATATACCTTAAAGCCTTATAATATTTTAATTTCAACACATCTTGACTCTAATCTCTCTTACTTCCTCCAGTTTGTCAAAAAAAAAAAAAAAAAAAAAAAAGAGGAACATATTTAAAGAGTTTAATATTTTATGTTAATATATTCAGTAATAACAAAAGAACTAGAAAATTTTCAAATGTTGGACTAGTTATAAGGCCAACTCAGCTATGTTCAACAATGGAATCATTATTAAACAGAATTATGTCCTTATAGATGGAGCAGTCCTAGAAAAGAAGGGTTTGTTCAAATTTGCCCATATACATATTCTCTTAAGCCATTAAGGACACCATGACAAGATATGCATTGGGAGAGAACAGGCCCTACAAAGAAGAGGGCAGCTTATTTAAATGATAAAATCTAAGTAGTAACTGCAAGATGCTATGGATAATAAAAAGATAAAATCCTGAGAAGATGGGAACAGTAAAGAAATATAGCAAAGGCAGTAGTTAAAATGTCAAAACTTAGGCTTTATTAAGCCTTGTGAAGGAAACACAGGAGAATAATTATAAAAAGTCTATCGGAGTTTCATTTATAGAAGTTGGTATAAATCATTATTCCCGTCATACAAAGACTAAAATTCAAATTTGAATAACAATGTATAATGAAACACCAGCAGTTTAATCTAGTTCATCAATACTTTCAAAGAACAATATTGAAATCTAAATTAATAATGAAAAAAAATCTGTGTTTCATGAACAATACAATTGAAATTTAAATGAATATATACTGACCTCTTAGGTAGAATTTTTCCACGGACCCTTTTGTTGACGATCACACCCAAAGCTCTAGGAGTTACATTGTAAACTCGTCCTGTTTTCCCATGATAACTTTTGTGGGGCATACCCTTTTGAACAGCACCATTTCCCTGAGAGAAAAAAAAAATATTTAATGTAATTACATCAAGGAAATAAAAGAAAAAGTTAATGAGTAATGTCAAGTAAAATAAATAGATTAAAACGAATGATAGAATGATAAAGAGAACCAAATAAAATTTAATTAATAAATAATAATAATAATAATAAAAGATTAAGAATATTCTGACATTCCATCAATGTTCATTAGATTATGAATTATATATATATATATATATATATATATATATATATATATATATATATATTGTGATATATATATAATAAGAAGTTGGTAAAAATAGTTTAATAAATTAATGCTGAATAATTAACAAAAGGCAAGCTAATATAGTTCTACTCATTCAGGGAAAAGAGAATGTTTGCTCTGTAGTAACCCCAAAAAGGAAAATCCCAAAGATGTGATAGGACAAAGGTTTTTTTTTGGCAAGCAGTTGTTTGGCTGCAGTGAAGAGACGATAGGGGAAGGGATCCAGGCTCCAGTGGGTAAAATCCAGTACTAGTATTACCATCTTGGAAGTTGTTTGACAGTCACTAGTTGTTTGGAATTACAAGAGAGAGAGAACCTCCCAGGGAGCTTGAGTTGAGTAGAAGAAACTGCCACCATTTTGGAAGTTGGCAGAACATTGGAAAGCATTTGAAGACAAATGAATTCAGTATCACAAAGGAAGAAACTGTGTATATAAAAAAAATGTTAGCTTGCCAATTCATACTTGACTTTATTTCAAAATCAAACAGTGTTTAGTGTAGTTAATGTTAGTCTGTTTGATTTATTTGATCTGATTGTCAGTAACCCATATCTTGAGATAAAATAATTATAAATTTCAATTTAATATATTAATACTCTTATAAATAATTTTGTTTATTATTTAATAATCTCTTATTTGTTTTGGAAAAATCCTAACAGTATAAAGTATCTTCCACGAGGTTATATGATTAGTTAAAAAATATAAGAAATATTACAATATACATATTAGTAATATGTAATATTTAAAAGAAAATAACATTAGAACAAGAAATATTAAAATTACTTGCTTCTCTTACTCACAGACAATCAATCAACACATTATAATGGAATACATATTTGTAACAGAATACACTTATTGGGTATTTCTAAAATAGTAGGCATTCAAATATTGAGCTAAATGAATTAACACAGATAGAATTTGGTTTATAAGAATAATTAAGTATTTTAAATTTAATAGGAAAAAAAAAAGAGGGAAAGCAAAAAAGTAAGAGTGTGATGAAGTTTAATGTCAGTATATACACTAACAGATATTGATTTCAACTAACACTACCTCTGAAATGTTATTGTATCTTATAAATAAAAATAATAAAGTAAAAATACAGGAATAACTTAGGCATAATTAATCAGCTACTTCATTATCTTTCAAGATATTTTAATTGAAATGAAAAATGGGAACACTAATAAAATTATTTGATTAATAAAAAAAGGAAATCAAGATGTTTGCAAACTAGATCCAAAAATGAACTATAAAGCAGACAAAATGACCTAATTATAACCCTACCAAATATAAATCAACAAAAGATGTAGTCATTCCATAAAAGTGAATTGATCATTACAAACTCTGAGCTATGGACCATTTCATTTAACTAAAGGACTTACAGCTTATAAACATTTTAAATTCTAGATAAACCTCATGTGAACATACAAACTTCGGTCAGTCGGTTGAAAGTGGTTTCTTTATATTTGAAAATTTAAATAACATTTAAAAGCACGATTTAATGTATCATTTAACAGAAGAACTGATGGATGAAATTTTGATATGAGGTGAAGAAAGTGTCTCTAAAAGAAAATTCATCTTGATTGATGACATACTCATTCCGTTGATTTGAAAATTGATGGCGTTAAAGCCATCAAATTAATCTAGTCGAATGATAGTAGGATGTGGAAAAAAAATCAAAGTCGGTTTTCTTCGTTTTTACATATTTTTTGGGATGCTGAATCTGAATTTGAAGTAACCAAAGGAAATTTTGCATTCTGAGATATATGGAAAAATACAGTGAAATTTCCTTAATGAGCATTTCTCAAAGGAATTCATTAAAATCAATTTGAAAGAGCATTAAATTTTCTACATATTTCGTGTAAATAGTTAATATGTGAGAAGGTGATAAAATGCATGGAATTGATGGCATATTTTATTCATCGTATCTGCTGTACTCACCTTAAGCACTTTTGATTCGGCGAATTTGCCTATATTTATAACAGAACTAGAATTTATTAACGAATTATAAAGCTTTTATATATTCTGTTTGCATGTGGGATAACAATAATCAAAAATTAAGGACCGAAAGCAATTTTAAAGTCAAAAAGCAGTCCAACAGAATTTCACGTATTATGCATAACCTTGAATTGAATTGAAAGAGCATCAATTTTCCTATTGAACTCAGGTATAATTGTTGGTAAACGAGAAGGTTAAAAGCCATTATAGCGCTCGGACTTTGTAGCGCATTTCGGTCCTTAATTATAAAGTTACTTAAGTTGAGTGTGACAGATACGACTAAAATACGCCTTCAATTCTGTGCTTGAACAGCTGCTTACCTTCTCAAATATTAACGTGAGAGAAAAACAAATGAAAACGGCTGTTTCTTGTGAAATAAGCAAACAATCAACTTACTCTAACACCTTACCCGTCGCCCAGTGGGCTGATATTACATATCGTTTTTCTAATTAAGTAGGTACAATTTTGAACAAAAAAAAAATTTAATTCCTTTTTATCGACTTTTGTTCAGCTAGATTGCTCAGACAGTCCACTGTGTGCCAGTCCTAAATCAAAAAGCTATGTGTGAAATTTATAGATTTTATCTTCTTTAACTTTGTATAGAATGATAATTTTGTTTCAGAGATGTATATTTTAGTTAGAAAAATGTATAGTTTCGGAGTAATGGCCGAAAAAAATAGGGAAATTTTACTGTTTTTTGCATATATCACGGAACGCAATAGAGAATTTTATTTTGGAATTTTAAACTCAGATTCAGCACCCCAAACAATATAAAACACTAAAGAGAAACCGACAATTAGAATATTTTTCACATCCAACTACCATTGGACTGTACTAATTTGATGCCGTGAGTTGTCAAAAAGCAAACAAGTACGTCAGTCAAGATGAATTTTTTTAGGGACACATTCTTTACATCATATTAAAATTTCAGCCGTAAATTCTTCTGTTAAAGAAAATATCAAATTCCACCACTTTAATTTCAATTTTTGTATAGAAAGCATAGATTTTCAACTGACTGAACGAAGTTGCGTGTTCACTTTAGGTTTAGAATTTAAGATGGTTATTAGCTGTAAGTCCTTTAGTTAAATGAAATTGTTGGCAGCTCCTTGTCAATTAAAGTATAGTTCTGTTAATTTGCATCCTGATTTAAAAAACTAGTTAAAATTTAGCAAACAGCGATTACGAAAATAAATACTTATGCGTGTTATCCAGTAATACGAAACATGGAAGTTTCGCCTGTTTTGAGCCAAAACAATCCAGACAAATACCCTAAATATCCATTTATTACAAACTCACTAAATCATTTAATTGGTTTTCTAAATTTTTAATACTTCTTAAAATAACTTGGAACATTAATATATAAAATGGTTGATCTAGTGGTAAATAAATTTTTAATTTTAATCATCTTTTTTAACCGTATCTATTTCAGTTTGTAGGTTGAAAAATTATATCAACATGAACATAATAAAGTATTTGAACTAAAATAAAATTTCAATAAAAGATCAATTTAGGAGTAATAAATTGCTTGAATATTTTTCATATACATTTTACTATAAAGACTGAGGGAGTACACTTATACCATGGAGAGCGAGACACCGGATGAGACCAAACCTAACCCGAAGGTCTTAAACCAGTCCCAGCTTAGCCCCACAATCTGGATATATAAAAGAGTGCAAACACACCAACGATGCTCACGGAGAGGACATAAATCCCACTCTCATAGCTTTCATCCGTTCATCTGTACACTATACCAGATGACTGGTCTGAACTGTCACGACCAGCTGGACGCTGGTGTCATACAGCAAGCAGTCGCAAATACACGACCACTACGACCGCCATGGCCAAGCAGTGCAAGCACTCTTACCGTCCACCCAAAGCGCCACCAGGGCTCCGGCGGCGCCCAGTCGTACCAATTTGATTGGGAAGCTCCTCTTCCCTGACCTCAGAGCACGATTGGTCGCAGGCTCCACGATTATTACAATCACTATGGCTTTACATCAACTGCCGATAGTACTTACTAAAAGACAAATTCATTTAAATTTTCAGTAACTCAAATAGTATCTGGTGAATCTAAACTGGATTGACAAGATTATTGTATTTAGATAACACTAGACCAAATAAATTTTAAGTCTACTTTATCCAAAATATTTTTTTAAGCTCTATGCAACCTTCATTTTTTAACATGAATATAAAATTAAACAACTTCAAAATTACCTTAATCGATACAATATCTCCAACTTTGTATACTTTCATGTACGTCGAAAGTGGGATGACACCATGTTTCCTGTAACCACGTGAAAACAAATCACGGGTACCTCGGCGATAACCCTTGGAGTTTGTCATTTTTCAGGCCTATAACAAAACAAATAAAATTAGATAATCATAAATAATAGTCTATAAAAATGTAACATAATCTCCATTTTAAATTTAAAAAGAAGTTGTAAAAATAATACAATTATATTTATTAAATTTTAGGTAAGTTGCTAATAAATTAAAAAATGAAAATACTTTCAATTAGAGCCAATGAATATCAATTGAACAAAACAATTAAAACAGAAATTACAAATAATTATAATAAACTTAAGTAGCACAATTCAAGTTGTCCAGAATAAAAATAAATAATATGTTTTGTATTAGTATGCATATAAACACAATATTAAAACATAGATATGACTTTTTAGCTACTTTGTTTAAACAAATAGCTTACTTGTTTACATAAAAACTAATTTATTTAATCATAATTAAAATGACAGTGTAATCTGATTCAATAACATTTTTTAAATTTGTCACAATCTATCAACTGATAATTATAAAACAGCTAATTTCTTTATTAAACACAATGAGCACATGTGAGCCAAAATCAGCTTTTTACATTGTACCATCGAATTTTAATGTATTTCCACATACAATGTGTCCCATAAAATTTGCGAGGCTAAGCTGTACTCAGTAACTCTTTAACTTTACAGCTAGAATTCGTAACTACATTGTCTGTTTTGTTAGTGATAAGTCTGGATATAAACAAATAAAAATGTGTTCATATTAAATAAATAAACAAAACTGAAATACTTAATGAAATGCAATAAAATTAGATAAAATATCATACTGAATGTTGCTATTACACTTTTGAACATATTTACGAATAATGTGCCAACAAATAATAATTCATGGTGCTGAACATAAACATATGTAATTACACAATAAATAAATTATACTCACTAAATATGATAGCTATAATCAAAAGAAAAATTATTAGATGTCCAATGAACATGAAATAAAACAAGCAATATTGCCCAATTAAGAAAGATTCACCTTATTAAATTCTCCTATAACGGTTTTACCATTTAGGACACAAACTTATTTATTTAATATTTGATAAATTAAGGAAACAGAGGATAGGTAAGCATCAACAGCCATAAAAACACATGGAATTAAGAATGAAAAAAGTTTTAAGTAAAATAATTTTATGATTTTCATAGTTAAAAACTTCGCTGAACAGATGATAAACTGAATATTAATTTAAATATTCAGATAATTAGCTATAAACTGAGGAATTTTGAATATTCACAAACTGACAATGTTGATGCATTCAGAAGTCTCCTACATCAGAAAAAGGAGGTAGAATATGCAAAATTTAAGGCAAACTTAGTCATGTAAATTAAAAGTAACTCAAACAATAACTTATAACAAAAATAATGTTGTATAAACCTTTAAATTCCGTAATCTTACCTTTCACGTAGAATCCACGTGCTCCACTGTCAAAAGCCTAACCTCATAGGACGGTTGGGCTGTTCCAAAGAGCTAAAATCACCGATGCAATAATACATAACATTAAGTATAACTTTGTTGAAAGTAAATGACATTTAGTCTCTTACTGTACTATTATTAGATTTTTTCTAAAAAATAATAAACTCATTTAACTAAACTCGTAAAATACCTGTAAAATTAAAATTATAAGAAAATAAAAAAGTCTGCAGTATAGTTTATTCATAATTTCTATTGGGTAAACACAATTCAAACATAAAACTAAAACCAACTTAATGATTCTAAAATTAAATAAAAGTTGTCCATAGGAACATTCTTTAAGAATTATACATTCTATATATAAAGAGGCCAGCAAACATTTTCATACATGGCCTGACTGCAGAAAAAAAATCAACAACAATTCTTTCCTACACATTTCTTTCAATACCACTCTTATCAATTTTCTCTAAAATATTTTCCAAACAATAAATACATATTTATTTAATAAAAATTAATGCATAAAATCAGAATTTTAAAGTTTTCCTACCTAGTTTTATTATAGAGTAATTTGTTTATTTATCTTACGTCAAATTTTTAAATAAATAATCATTTTTAATTGATATTTTACTAACGTTATATTTTGATTTCTGAGTTGTCAATCGACATAAGCCCATAGATGTTTGATGAAATTCAAATCTGGACTCTGGAGAAAATTTTCATGTTCATTTTGTTAATTACATGCATATAGCAGTCATGTAGGGTTTTGTAGGTTACATAGAACGGATCATAAGCTATTGTTCAAAGAAATTTGAACTAAAATGGTTTGATGTTTGAAAATTTCGCTGTCCTACACAGTTCTAGACCATAGGTCCAAACAAGATTCAGGATTGTCTTCTACATCAGTAATTTGTTCTCAATTGAAAGTTGAGATTTTCTAGTCAGTAATCTGTATAGTCGCTTAAGTTTTTGAATTTTGAGTCCATTATTTGGGTTCCACGTTAGTCCTCTGGGTAATTATTCCGCGCACGTGTTACGCGTATCTCATAATCTCTTCGATCACATTTGTTAATGAAACGCCGAAAGCAGTCTTTCAGATAAACCCGGATGCATTTGGTACTCCATGAACAAATGTGGCTGAAGTGATTGTGAACCACGGTCCTCTTTCTAAATAATTACTATCTTCTGTCTAAAAGGAAGCAAAGATATCAGACTGTGCTTGAAAAAGAAAGCTGGATGAACTGGTGAAGATGATTTACGTCGCAACGTAAAAGAAATGTGTTAACATTTAGATTCATTTAGTTCAATGCGCCATTTATTACTCCAGTGCTCAATCAGCGAGAGGAGGGTATGCAAATTTAACAATGCTATTTGGGGATCTGAGTTGGATGATAGGATTACGGTGTCATCAGCAAATGTTGCAAGGAAGATATTGGGATTAACAGGGATGTCAGCTGTAAACAGGATGTAAAGCACGGTACCCAAGAAACTGCCTTGAGGAACACCGGCTTCAACTGGATAAATATCGGAAAATATTGTTCCACAACGAACTCGGAAGGAGCTGTCAGATATTATATATTTGTACTTTTTTCCCCTTGTATGTGTATTAGAAATTGATTCAAGATTTTTGCAATAGTCATGTGTTAAAGAAAGTACGACTAAAAATCCTTTATCGAAAGTAGTTGGTAAAACTTGATTATCTCCATTAGCCTATTATCTCGTATCACACTCCCGATCAGTGTTTCAAATAGCCTAAATTTACAAAAATTTTTTTTTTAATAACATCCGCTTTGGCTTTTTTTTCACGCTAGTTTTCTGAAATAAATATCCAAATTTGGGTGAATTTTAAATTGCTAATTTTTTCACCATGTATATTCTTTTATAAGTGCAGTATACAAATATAAATATTTTATTAAAAAAAATATTAAAGTTGAGCAATCATTTATTGTTGTAATTTTTTCTGAAAAAATGGGTGACAGGAAAAAGAATCAGATCAATTTTATACACAACTGAAATTGAATCTCAACTAATTTCGTCATAAACTTCAAGTTAATCAACTTGGACTTAAAGCTTATAAAACAAAAATTTTTTCCTAAAAGTGGGGTGGGGGGGGGGGAGCGAATAATATATGATTTTTTTAAAAACAGAACTTAGCTTAGTTTAGCAGCTTGAAAATCTTTTTTAAAGGATTTTATCAATGACAAATACTACTTCCGTTCAATGTAAATTTTGTCTACTTTACTGTGAAGCGATTTGTGATTACGTGAATTAAATATTGTTTTAGTTATCGCTTTCTATTCAATAAAAAATGCGACTTACTTAAAACACACAAAACTTCCTCAATTTATAGGACATACATATATTTTAAATACAAATTTAAATATAAAATACGAATTTTATTGTAGGAAAAATTTCATACATAGTAATACTAAAAAATATATATATTAGCTTTACCCGGCCACGCGCTGCTGTGGCTTAGCCTGGCAAAATGAAAAAGAAAGAAAATAGAAAGCACATATGAGTAGATTAGTAGCATAGGACATCTGTCATTGTTAAAAAGTTGTGAAACAAATTTGTCTGTAAAATGGCTTCAATTGAAACTAATTCTAATTGATTTTTTTCTCATGATTCAAATTGAACATTCATAATCATCTGAGTAAATACGACGTCATTCATAATCATCAGAAACAGTCTGAGTTGAACTTATAAAACTAAATTAAAAAATTAATTTTAAAAACGTATAATAGTATTGACCTACATAAGGAGAATCATATAAATTCTTCAAATGATAATTTCAATTACTGTGGTAATTATAAAATTTTCTTTTAATCAATACAAAAAAAAAAAATGCTAGCCGACGTTCGGTAGTGAGGAAGCAAAAGGAAACGGCCTTTTCTGAAGAGAAAGCAGTAAATGTTTAAAATTCAATAACTCTGCAACGAGCCGTCGGATTTCGATGATTTTTTTTTTTTTTTTCAGCAATTCAGAAATATTTCATATAAATATGGGTATTATCGATCAAAAATTGTGTACTTTTTTAGTTATCGTCAAATAAAATATTGAATTCATTGTAACATTTTTCAGCTTGTTTTCGGGAAAGCATGTTATACACATAAATTAAAAGGGTTTCAAGGGGAAGACTTTAGTCAAGTTTCGTTAAAATCGGTAAAGCCGTTTTGGCACTACAGTTTATAGCGACACATTTTTTGCGGCTTTGAACAGGAAAACATTTACATTTTTATTTTTTTTATATATATAAAATTATCATAAGACAGAAGTACTATGCCAGAAACCTTCCCAGGAGTGTACGGAACAACTTCCCAAAGTTTCATGGCGATCGGTTGAATGGTTTAGTAATGCACTAAGGACAAACAGACAAACATACATTCATTTTTATATATACAGATATATAAAAATTAATAAAATTAAAAAAAATAATAATACATATACATAAAATATTGTGATACGATGTTCATACATATTGTTAATCCTATATAATTGTATATTAGTTTTAAAAAATTGTCTGTAGTGACTAACAAGTATGCTGTGTTTAAAGCAACCCAATGGGCAGCACCCTTTTATGATAATAAAGTGATTCTCTCTAATTCATTTAATATTAAAGAATGGAGGGAAATAACGTCCCAATTGACTTCAAAGATGATCCAATCAATGCTTAATTGGTACTAAAAAAAAAAAGGACTGCGTTCAAAATATTAATTTAAAATTTCTGAATAAAATAAATTATTGTTTAATATTGCTATGTATGAAAATTTTAGCTTTAATGAAATTCGTATTTTATATTTAAATTAGTATTTAAAATATATTTATTTATCGATCGGCGAAAGGTTTTGAGAAAATTGATAATAGTGATATTTAAGTTTTTAAATAAAAAAAGAAACTCATGAAAGAACTGTTTCTATTGATCTTTTTTATTTCCTATCATTCTATGTATGAAAACCTTTGCTTGTCAATGTATATATATATATATATATATATATATATATATATATATATATATATATATATATATATATATATAGAGAGAGAGAGAGAGAGAGAGAGAGAGAGAGAGAGTGAGATTAGGTGTGCAATAAAGTTAAAATTATTTAACTTGTAATGAATAAATAACCCTTTAAGTGCCATGAATAATCATTCTTCATTTGATCATTTTTATCTAAAAAAGACGGAATAAATGACTGGAAGTTCATTTGATATGATAAGAATCTTTGTCGACGTTATGCTATCTGCCCTAGTATCTTTACTGCCAGCTAAATCTTTTGAAGTCCCTTCTAGAAATAAACAATAATCTTTCTTCAGATATACAGCAGACCCTGATTTTAAATAACAATCGTCTATCCTTCGAGTAATTTATTGTGTTCAAAGATCGTCGAATCTTGTACCGCCAGGTAAATACTGCCATCTTTGCCACGTATAAGATGATTTAGTAAATTTTTAACATTTATGAAATAAAATACAATAGTAATAATATACATACCTATTCAATTCAAAGGCTATATTATTAGCCTGAATGTATAAAAGTTGGTATGTAAAGTTAATGTTAAATAAAAATAGTATAAATAATGCTATATTATTGAGTTAATATTTATAAGTATTCAATCCAAATATATAAAAGAAAAAACACTTTTCCTCAAAATCTTATCATTAATACTTTTAATTCATTATTGTTTATTATCTAGAACAATATTTAAAAAAATGGATGATTTGTCTCAACACCGAAAAATGTACAGCAAAAATTTTTACTCTTAGACGTCCCTCAGACCCACCTGAACTGATTCTCAAAAATAAAGAACTAAAATGGAATCCAGCTAGTGAAGCAGTAAAATACCTCGGAATTTATCTGGACCGCCGCCTTACGTGGAATTACCATATAAATAATAAACTGACCCAAACATACGCAAGGTTAGCAATGTTATATCCCATAGTAAATAGAAAATCTAGTTTAAAACCAGAGACAACTGTTCTTATTCATAAAACCATACTAAGACCCTTGCTAATGTACGGATGTGAAGTCTGGGGAGCCGCTTCAGC